GATCCCTACAGCCCTTGTGTGATTTCCGTCTGTGATATTCTTGCTTTTTACACCTTTCTCTCTGTCTTGAGCCAACTGCATGGACAGAGAACTACCAGGGGTGGACATAGAGATGCAGATTCTTTCAGGGGGCATTTCCATGTCACTCCATCTAACTTCCTAACTGCATTTTTCTTCCCAAGCGCTGTTTTGGCATTGCCACGCCCTAACACAAAACAAATTAGAAAGTACTGAGCTTCAGGATTTTCCTCCAGGACCACCTTAGAGTCACACTTTGGTCACTGAGGAAAGGGTGTTCCATTCTCCCGTCCTTAATGAACTCCACGAAGTAAAGGGGGACTTTATCACGAACTCAGATGTGAGACGTGCCTCTTGAGTATGACCGCGACCACTCAATGACTCTGGCAAGTTCCTCTGGGGTGTGTTTGTGATCCCTGGGGCTGCAGGAGACCATGGCAGCTGGATGCCTGTGTGCACGCTTGTCGTGAAAATCCCAAGTGAATATGCCCTGTGGGACTAAAGTCATAGGTCCCGTCATCTCCGGGTTCTGGTGGTGGGTAGCATTCTGGGGGAAGTGGTTCGGGACAAGCAGAGGTTCTAGTCAGAAGAGGAGTGACACTCTCTTCCCTTAATTGGCCCTCTCTGGTTATAGGCGACATGGCCAATCTCTTGTTTCCTTCCCATAGCTCTGAGGGGTCCTCCTGGCCTCCTATGAGAGTTTCTTTTCCTTCTCCTGGGCCTTGAATGTTGGGATTCCTATTGGTCTGTGTCCTGCCTCTTTTTCGTTTCACTGTGGACACGTATCCACCTCCATGGAGGCAGGGGCTCTGCATTGGCGCCGATCTGCCTTTCTATGTCCACCCCTGGTATTTCTCCTACCCAGACCTTTCCCTTCTTGCCTCTGGGTCCGCCCACTTGGATGTCTCAGGGTCCCTCCAACACACAGTCTGCCAATCTGAATTTGTTTTCTCCCTCCCGGCTGACGTGTGTGTGCTCTTTTACTGGCAGACTTGAGGCCAGGCACAGCCCTTAGCCCAATTGCCTGCACCAGAGCTCCAGCATCCCTCCAGGGATTCCCTGAAGACTTCATGGTCAAGTTCCAGTGTCTCAGCATGGCAGCCAGGGTCTGAAAGGTATGCACGTGCCCAGCTTCTCCAACCTGACCATCACGCCTCCCTCTCTGACTCTGCACTCTTGGCTAAGAGCTCCTTCTGAAGATCCCAGATGGGCCACGCTCGGTTTTGCCTGTAGAACTGAGCACTTGCTTTGCCCCTCTGGGACGATCCACTGAAGGAGAATTAGAGATTTTAACAGTATCTTAAATATCCTGAAAATGAGAGTAAATCTTAGTGATGCGTCAAGGGTTTCAGACCACCATACAGTAAATCAGGGTTTTTCAAATCTCACTTCTTCCAGATCTTTTGCTCTCCTGAAGGAGGGCCAGGGCACCGTTCTGGCTGTTCACACAGACTGTTGCAGAACTTTGCTCGTGCCTCCAACAGTGATCACGACCCCAGCCTGGGTTTAGTAAATTATTGTGGATGCACCAAGCCTCCATTGCACATGGACAAATGTGTCCTCCTGACTTGAAGGCAAGTTATGTCATCACACAGTCACCATTCAGGTTCAAGGACAAAGACATTACCAACCAACCCTGTTAAATATTTAAGAAAAAAAGTCTTCCATCTTCAGCATATAGTCGATGAGGGAACAATTCCAAAGTCATTTTAAGAGTTTAGCGGGCAACCTCCTCGGGTCCTCTCCTGCTGTGGGAGCTTTTCTGTCTTCTTAATAAATCCTACTTTCTCACTTAAAAAAAAAAGATGTTTGCATAGGGCTAAATTCAAAACCATGCAAAAGCGTTAAAATAAAAAAAATTTACAGGCCAATATTCTTGAAATATAAGAGATCTAAACAGCAGATTAGCACACAAAATCCAGTATTATACACACCTATGTGCATATACATATACATACATATATATACACATATATATATACACACACTCACACAAATACATGCATATACACATCATACATACTACATACATACACTATATATATATATACACCTACATATACATGTCATGGTGAGATGAGATGTATTCCAGAAATGCAAAGTTTGTTACCACTTGTGAATCAATCAGTGTTATTCACCATACTAGAATAAAAGAAGAGAAAATTAATGCAAAATCTCAGTAGACACAACGGAAGCATTTGATAAAATTCAACATTCATTAATGATAAAGTTCTCAGCAAATTCAGCACAGAAAAAAAGTCCTCAACTTGATAAAAGACATCTACATAAAGAACTACAACTGACATCACACTTAGTTTTTGATTTGTTAAGTAAGGTATTTAAATTAGGTTTGGTATAGCCAGGTGTGACACATTGAGTGACGGTCAGTCTGGAATAATGAAAGTATTTGTATGACTCATGGGTCCCAGAGAGAAGAAGGTAGCATGCCTTGAAGGACCCATCGAAATGGAACTATTGCAACACATGTGTTTAACCAGTGGGGTGATGAGTAACAGAGAGAGACTTGGGGCCCAAGACATCACATGGGTGGATTTCCTGTTTATTCTCAGGGTTGGACTAGCTAATTTGAAGAGAACCAAGCCTAGGGTAAGCCTCTTGACCAGCTAGAAGTAAGCCTAGAAGTAAGCCTTAAGATATATCGTTGAGTTCACCAGGCTTAAAGCAGAAGAAAGCTGGTCAAGAGGTTCTGGGTATGGGGCCTTATTTATCTAGAACATGAAAATCGCAAGTTCAAGGGTAGCAAGTCAGGGATACAACAAGAAGGAAGCTGGGGTTGAATTTATAAGAAGGAGAGCTATGACAATTTAATGGTGAAAATTAAATGTGTTTCCCTTAAGATTAGAAACAAGGAAGAATGTTGGCACTTAGTACATCTATTCAACATTGTTCTGTTAGTCCTAGCCAGGGCATTAAGGCAAAAAAAAAAAAAAAAAAATGCAGGAGAAGCAGAAGGAGAAGAAGAAAACAAAAATATAAAGATGGAAGTAAAACACTTTTTATTTGCACATGACATGATTGTTTACACAGACAATTCTAAGGAATCTTCAAAATTATCTATAATGATCAGACACCAATTTAAAAATTACTCTGTTTGCTTGTTCAAGAAGATAAAAGACAAAAATGCAATAGGCCACTGGAAGGTATAAAAATTGACAGCAAATTTGGAAAAAAGAAATTCTAGGAGTAAAGAAATAAAAATGCAGTGACTATTCACAATAGTAAAAATATGAAACCAACCATGCTGTCCATCAAAACTGGACTGGATAAAAAAAATATGGTACATATACACAATGAAATATTACTCAGCCATAAAGAAGGACAAATATATGGAGTTCACAACAACTTGAATGGATTTAGAGTTTATCATACTCAGTGATCTATCACAGAAGCAAAGAACAGAGTATCACATGTTCTCACTCATAAGCATACCCTGAATATTTGCCATAAAACTATAAGAAAGGAAATGAAAGTCGGGCTTGGTGGCTCAGCCTGTAATCTTGCGCCTTGGGAGGCTGAGGTGAGTGGATTGCCTGAGCCTGTGGGTTCAAGACCCACCCGGGCAACTTGGAGAGACCTCATCTCTACAAGAAATCAAAAAATTATCCGGGTGTGGTAGTGCATGCTTGTAGTTCCAGCTACTTGGAAGGCTGAGGCGGAAGGATCGCCAGAGCCCAGCAGGTCGAGGCTGCGGTGGCCGGGAGCGGCCACTACACTCCAGTCTGGGTGACAGAGTGAGACTCCAACTAAAAAAAAAAAAAAAAAAAAAAAGAAAGGGGTTGGCAGTAGTGAGATACTGCCAGAGTCAGGAGGAGCACAACATCAAAAAGAGTACCTGATCTCAAACCAGGCAAAGTGGGGACCAAAGGGAAGCCCAAACTTTACCTGTGCATACAATGTCCACTTGTATACCTAATCCTGAATTGTACCAAGCATGTTTTAAATAAAATACATATCAAAAAATGTATGAAAGAGCAAAAAAAAAAAAGCAATGAAGTAGTTTCATAGTTGACTAGACACAGCATAAGAGATAATCTGTAAATTGGAAGATATTTGAAAATAATCTCTCTGGAATGAGTCACAGCAAGCCACAAGAATCAAACACACATTTAAAAAGGTAAGAGAAATAGAGGTTGAGTGTGTTGGCTCATGCCTGTAATCCCAGCAATTTGGGAGGCCAAGGCGGGAGGATCACTTGAGGCCAGGAGTTTGAGACTTCATCTCTGCAAAAAGAAGAAAGAGAGAAAGTCAGCTGGGCATGGCGGTGCACACCTGTAGTCCCAGCTACTCAAAAGGCCCAAACAGAAGGATCACCTGAGCACAGGAGGTTGAGAATGGAGTGAACCATGATGGTGCCACTGAATGTAGTCTGGTGATAGAGTGAGATTCCAACTGAAAAAAGAAAGACAGATAGAAGAGAGGGAGGGAGGGAGAGCAGAGGACATAGCAAGTTGATCTAATATACACTGAATTGCAAAGCCAGAAGAGATAGGGCCTCATGAGCCAGAAATGAACTTTGAAAGGACAATGACTTCGAATTTTCTGGAACCCCTGAAGGGCATCAAGTACCCAACCTCAAACAGCATACATTGAAGAAAGACACACCTACACATGTTGTCAAGAAACCTGACACTAGAGACAGACGGGGAGACTCTCTTGAAGGTGCCAAAGGAAGCATCAGTGGGTGACAGCCAGCTCCTCAATCAGCCGCTCCTCAACCGGCCAACAAAGAGTGGAAAACAATGGAGCGAAAGCAAATACTGCCCCAGCAGAATCGTCCTTAAAGGGTGCAGGTTCAGCGGATTTCAGGCAAACCCAGCCCAAAGATAGGTCACTAGCATTTGTGCATTGGACAAAATACTGAAGAGTAGGAACACACGATCCCAATGTAAGAGATACAGGAAGAGCAAAGAATGGTAAAATGGCGAATATGTGTCTGAATCTAACGCCTATATTCTCGGTAGAGGAACAGCATCGTGTACTGTGGACCGTGTGACCAGCTTGTCAAAATAAGGTAATGGGTGGTTAGTCCCACTCTGGGAGAAGGGTGTGTTCAACACCTGTTTATTCTCAGACAAGTTCCCCAAGCATTCGCTGTACTGCTGTGTTCTGTGTCTCAAGGAAGCGAAGACCATCCTCAAGGAGAAGAACAAAGTGCTTTTCCAGGTGTCCGGACTACAGTAATCGAGACAAGGCGGTGTTGGCACAAGGATGGACATACAAACATATGGTGCAGAATTGAGTCCAAAAATAAGGATTTGCATGATGATTTGCATGATGACGATTTGCATCCTGATTGATAAAAAGTTGTTCTACAACGCTGGGACTCACTACAGAGTGAGCCAGGAACAGCCTTTTAAAAATCTACTGTTACTCCGTATGGGAAAAATAAAAACAGAGGCTAGAGTGACTGATAAACATATAAACTTGCTCAACTTGGTTCGAAATCAGGGAGATACAAATTAAGACCACAATGGGATATAGTACCCAATGGCTAAAATTTAAAAGATGGAACATCCCTAGTGTTGGCGAGGTTTTCAAGCGGTAGGAGCTCTAATAGATGCTTGGATAAGGATGCAAATTGGAACAACACCCTGGAAAACTCTTCAGCATATCTTTGTGGGTCGAACATACACACGTTACAAGGCCCAGCAGTTCCACCTTTGCGTGGATGCTCAGTGACTATTTATGCACACGCGCACTTGAAAATCTATTTCAGAAAGCCCAGGGCTTCATTACTTCAATTGCTAGAAATTGGAAACAACTCAAATGTAGAATTGATGAGTAAAGTAAGGAAACACAGCTCTCCACCTCAATGTGTAGGAGTCTCACAAATGTAATATCGTGTGAAAGAGGCCAGGTGCAAAAGATTATATAGGAGATAGTTGCATTTATATAAAGCAAAAATGACCACAAAACTAAACCACAGTGTTTAATGATAAATACCTAAGTGGTGCTAATATAGGAAAAGCAAGGAAGTAATGACCATAAAAATCAAAATTGAGATTACCAAGGGAGAAGGAGGGAGGAGTCATGCCTAAGAAGAGGCTTTAGGAAGTTTGGGGGATGCTGATCAATGTTCTATTGCATGATTTAGGGTTTATATATTGTTCATTTTATAATAATTCATTAAATTGATGCTGATGTTTCTATACGTGCAGGTAAGTTTTTTTAAAATGATGATTAAGATAGCTTTGTAGCATAATTGCAGTCAGGTGATACGATGCCTCCTTTGTTCTTTTTGCTCAGGAAGGCTTTGGCTATTCTGAGTCTTTTGTGGTTCCATATAAATTATAGGATTGCTCTTTCTGTTTCTGTGAAGAATGTCATTGGTATTTTACTAGGGATTGCATTGAGTCTGTACATTGCTTTGGGTAGTATAGACATTTTAACAAGATCTATTCTTCCAATTTATTAACACAGAGCATCTTTTCATTTTTTGGTGTCTTCTGCAATTTCTTTCATCAATTTTATAGCTTTCACTGTAGAGATCTTTCACTTATTTTGTTAAGTTTGTTATTTGATATTCCATTTTATTTGTAGCTATTGTAAATGAGATTCCTTTCCTGGTTTGCTTTTCAGAATTTTTGCTCTTGGCATACAGAAATGCTACTGATTTTTGTATGACTTTGCATCCTGAAACTTTACTGAATTACCTGTCAACAAATGAGTAAAGAGAATGTGGAACATATACACAATGGAATATTATTCAGCCATAAAAAATAATGAAATCTTGGCATTTGTGACAACGTAGATGGAACTGGAAGACTTCATTCATGTTAAATGAAATAAACCAGGCACAGAAAGGCAAGTATTGCATAGTCTCACGGATATTTGGAAGTTAAAAATTACTGAATTCATGGAGATTGAGAGTAGAATTGTGCTACCAAACACTGGGAAGGATAGTTGGGTTATGTGTGGAATAAAGATAGGTTGGTTAATGGGTACAAAAATACAGACAGAAGAAATAAGATGCAGCACAATAGGATGACTATAGTTACAAAAATTTATTATTGTATATTTAAAAATAATGAAAAAAGTGAAATTGGAATGTTTCTAACTCAATAATAAATGCTTGAGATGATTTCAATTCCCCTATTTGATCATTACTCATTGTACGCTTATATCTAAATGTCACTTGCATAACTATTATATACTTATAAAAATTTAAAATAAATTTAAAAGCCAAGTAAAATTTTCAAAAAATGGAATGAAATGGTTGGAAATTAATCATAGGCAAATGAATGACCAATCAGATAATCTCACAAGGAATTCTTGCAGACTCACCAACTAGGGTCCCACAAAAGTCACTAAGAGGTTAGAGGCCTCATAGGACAAATCAAATCCAGTGTCCTGATAACTGTGAAACTCCAAATGGGAGAAAGAAGTTCCAAGGAACAGACCATTCTAAGTTCATGGATGCTGGTCACATCATCTTCTTAAAGATTTTGCTTAAGTCTTGGGCTGAGTAAGACCCAAGTAACTCAAATTTCAGCTTTTAAAAGGTGACTCAGACTCAATCCCAAGGTGTTGGGCGTCTTACAACTTTTCTGTGAGGTCGGTGTGCCGGCGTTATGGGAAAGAGGCAAAGAATTGCACAAAGAGTAGATTAGAGAAAAAGTTAATTTAAAAAGAGAGAAAAAGGGTGGATCCACCTACTCGAGACTGAAGAGGGCCCCAGCACTGAAGAAGGATTTGGTGCTGAATATTGGAAGCTTGGGGGCTTAGAAGGCTTCCTTTGGAAGGCTGAGAACAGAAGCATTCTCCGGGAAATGTAATAGTGGGGGAGGAAGGGACAGTTGCTGTCATGGCGATTAACTGCCCAGCAGGCAGCAGCCAGGGTTTCAGGCAGTTGATCACTTAGGGAGAGTAGCCTAAGGTCTGTAACACAAAGTTTCAAGACACAAACGTTAAAGCTTTGAACGTCCTTGGACTTAGGGAATAAAAAGGCCTTCGGATGGGAGTAAAACACTCTTGGGAAAATTTTAGGAGGGCTAGAGCCAAAAATAGGAGCCCACGCCGCGCTGCCTGCCTGCAATGGCCAAGGTAACCTCATTCTGGCTTTTTCCGTCCTTTCATTTTCATAATCCTCATTTTCATCTCCTGTCTTTTCTATTATCGACTGTCTCTCTCTATAACTTCCTCTCTTTCTTCCTCGGTTGTTAGGAGAAAACGGGAGATAATATTCTAGATGTAAAGTTGTTACTTATGAATTGAATTATGTTAAAAAACAATACAAACAAACAAGGTTGGGGTATAATTAACGAAATGTGAACCTTCTTAGATGTAGAATTCTCCAAGTGAGGTCAAGTGGATTTTCCCAGCAAACATTTGCTTCCTTGAAGAGACCCTTTAGATAATCTTAGAGGGCACATTACCATTGCTAGAACAAGTGTAATTTTCGTAGGTAATTTTATTTCAAAGAGGAAACATTTTTCTAGTGTGGAACTGAAGGCAGAGAGCTGTAGTAAGTTGGGTCTAACGACAAGCAATGCGAATAAAATATATAAATGTTTAATTTTGGCTCAGATAAGCCAGATGCAAATTTCCTGTTTCCTTAGGCAGTGCAAATACTGATCACTTATATGATTACTTTGAATAAGGGTCAACTTTTGGATTAAGAAAGCATAGCTAAAGTATCAAATATTTATGAAACAAAGTTATTGCAGCAGGAGGCTGAGAGCCATGCCGAGGAGTTTGTGGCTGAATCACGACCGTGATCCCCTACTGCCAAATGCTTCTTCAATATTTTCTTCTGGCTACCAGCGGGGTCGAGGGCAGGGCAAGTTCATGTATCATCTAGGGGAAAAAAATGCCAAGTGTGGACTTCCCCTGAATCAATTGAGGCTGAAACAGAGGGATTTAAAAAGCCAAGCATTTGAGCAATAGTGCAAATTGCCTCAATTTGTTTGTATGAACTTTTGCTGTGGCCTGTCCTTCCTTTGTCTAAGGAAGGAGAGGATAATGGCATTCTCTGCTACTGGTTTACTCATTAAAACATTGTAAATCTGGTAGAAAAAAAAGCTGTCCATGATCCCTGTAAGACTACTAGCTAGAAGGTACATCCCTATCTCCTTCCTACAGACTGGAAATCTGAGTGGCCATTTGGCAATTCTACTGAAATGGGAAAATTTTATCCTGGTACCATGATGAATTAGGGAAGCACAGCCATTGTCATTAACTTAAAATGTGCCTAAAGGAATCGGATCACATAAATGTATGTTTCTATATATCATATACACACATAAATTCACTCATATACTTTTATAGATATTGATATATGTGTAAAACATCTATATAAATACGTATATATTGTGCAGACACACAAGCATATGTGTGTATATTATAAATATAGATGGGTGTATATGTGTAACTGCACGCTCACATACTCGTTTGAATTGAGACCATATGGATGGATGCAGAAAAAGCCCTAGAAAGTGATACAGATATGATGTTTGCTCTAGAGCTTCCCCATTCTCATGAATACTTTGAGAGCCAAGCCCAGCAAGGCCTTGTTCAGAATGTGCACTTCTGGTCCATGGTGTTCTCTTGAGTCTGATGAGAAAGTCTAGCATTTTCTGACAAATGGGCCATCGCTGGTTTTCTTGCAGAGGCTAACGGTTTCAGTCAAAATTTTGAAGGCCTGTCCAGTAGGCTTCCTTTTCAAAAAGCAAGACTGTGTCCTTGGTGGTAGCCATGACAACAGTCTCAAATGTAGAGACATGTGGGTTAAGTCAAATTATCGAAGTCCATCATGTTCCATCAGCAGTGATACATGTTAGCTCATCCAGGAAGCTCCCAAATTGCGACTGCTACACTGACCTTTTCCAGAGGCGCTTAGTAACCTTTTGGGTTGATTTAGACCTCACCAGGGCATAGCTCCGCAAGACCTAGTGCATTTTCCCCCTGGATATCACTTTCTCACCCTGGACCATTCTGCCCCTTATCCTTGGGCAGAGATAAGAGGTAGGAGCCAAGCTGGTCTGATGTCCATTCCATTATGAAAGTGACCCTGTTCTCTGGTGTGCATCAGGGCACAGCACACTCTGCTCAACTTTCCGAATGCTCTGGAGCTCTCAACACAACCCTGATCTTCTCTTATAAAACTTAGAAGTGAGGTGGGAAAACGGCTTGAGCTCAGCAGTTCGAGGCTGCAGTGAGCTATGATCATGCCACTGTGCTCCAACATGGGCAACAGAGCAAGATCTTATCTCTACAAACAACAGCAGCAAAACTCAGCAGCCTCTTTAACTCTGTATCTGCTTTTAGCCTCTTAGAAATGTCCCTATGGTAAAGGACATACAGGGACTAACCTATATCCAAATGGGGGATACCCACATGGGGTCGTTCGAGAGATCCTTTATCACTCAAAGAATTTTAAATATGGCTGGCCCGAATTCCCGGGATGTGTGGCCATGTGGGAGATCTGGAACTTTTCTAGGGAATCCTTTTGCGAGGCTGCAGCTTCTTACCTCTTCCTCATGTGTCTTTATATAGTTCCTGATTTTCTACAGTTTTGGTTTGTGTGAGTCACTTGCTCTGTACACGCCTAGTTCTCAATTGATCCTTTGCCTTTCCCTGCAAATTTCTCTGTAACTCAAGTTCTTCCTGTGGCAGAATTGCAATTCCATCTCCTGTCTCTAGACTCCACTGGGTCCTACCCTCGTTTCGTTCACAATCCATGGACCTCCTGGGAGGATCAGGTTTTCTCCAGACAGCCAGGAAATGATCTGTTTCTTCTTAGAGTGGCTAGCATTCCAAAATCAGTTGTTTCTCCATTTCCCAGATCTCCCTTCTGCTTCAAAGTCAGGCAGGTGGCATTTTCCTGAACACAAGTGGACGGCACCAAAGTCCTCTACTTGCCAGTGTGAACACCGGAATGCTGACTTGCCTGATTCTTTATAAATGAAATGCTTTCTGGGTCTTCACAGAGGACCCACAATCAAAGCAGATATCATCATTTCCGTGGTCTGCGGTTTCCTTCACATACACCAAGTTTGGCTGAAGGGTGGAAATATCAAGGACTGTATTTACCAGTCCTTTGGCGATTGATAAAGAGAGACCTGTATTTAAATAAGGTCTGTAATGAGGGAAGTTGCAATAGAAGTGTTGTGAATAATACATAGGTTTGCTTATAAAACCTCAGAAATGCTCTCGCAAGCCTGTGAAACGGAAAGAGGGAAGATTTGCAAGAGGCAGACTAGCAATTCAATAGTAAACTGTCCTTACAAAAAGCTGGTTATGGCATTTACGGTTTTAAAACTTCATTTGTCACAGAAACATGCTCCATGCTATATTGTAAAAATTTTTTGGAAATCCTGGGGAGTTTCTAAGCAGGGTTCAAGTTTTTCATGATCTGCACATTTTAACGCCTCTCAGGAGATCTTTACCGCGTGAACTCCCAGTCAGATCCCTCTTCTGAGAAGTCAAGTCATACATTCCCAAGCTCCCCCGCCCTGCACCCCACGCCACCTCATTCAATACCAGCACTGTGAGGATCAGGGTCTGCCCATTTAGGGAGAGAACCAACATCAGTATGTTCTGTGATGAGGAGTCCAGCTGCAACACTCCACCATCATGCCTTGAAGTCAAGAGTGTGACTTTCTTCCCATAATCGATGCAGTGACTAGGACTCAATTTGAATGATCTGAATGCTTTGAACTTTTGTTATGAAATGATTTCAAATTTATGAAAGGTTTTCAAGAGTAGTATAAAGAACTCTCATCAACTTATCATTTTTAAATATCTTTCCATATTTACTTTATTAGTCTCTTCTTATTTTGTTAAGAATCTATGTTACCGATATTATATTAACAGATTATTTGTTATTTTTTAAAATCATATTAATCATATGGGTTAAATCTTTTAATGTTATTCTTAATTATAAGATCAAATTATACCAGGTTTGGCCAGTAGAAACCCCTTCAGACTGGTTTCTCTGAGCATTGACATGCTCCTAGTACTTTTTGACCATATCTTTATTTTCTTGTACAAAAGTATGTTCCAGGCTTAACTTATATTCCTGACCTATCCTAAGGTTTAGTGACTTATCTAAGTCACTTATTCTTTTAGTGGGATACAGTAAGTAGGAAACCAGATCTATGTGGCATATTCATCCATTACTACTGAAGTGTCATTGATTCCTAGTGTCTCAGTCAACAAAACAAGGAAACATGCATACCTGCCTATCTGTGTATCTTTCTACGTATATTTATGTCTGTATCTCTAAAATCATGAGCTCTTATTTATAACTCCAAGTCCTACTAAGTGCAATGAGATTCTTCCCAGCCTTGCTACGTTTCATATTTGTGTCTCTCCTTGCCAATGGTCAGAAACCTGATATTCAACATCATCATGGTATTTGCCATGTTGCTCGATGCCACCATTACAGAAAATTCTACATTTTCAGAATTGCCAACCTCGTCTACTGTAAATAACAACCTAGTGAAGAATACTGCTTCCATTCAATTACCTCCTCCTTTAAATGACTATGAAATGAAATAAAATGTAGGAAACCACCCTTTCCAGACTTAGGCAATAGATAGCGCAAGAGCAAAACAATACTTGAATGATAAGAAGCAAACCAGGCTAGCCATACAATTACACAATCTTACTGCTTGGAATAAGTATATAGGCTGAAGCACAGAAAGTGGAATATAAAACAGAGCCCAGGAATTTTGCTGAGTTAGAAGACACAGACTGCAGCTTTCAGAGGCAAGGGCAACTGGAATTTGAATGGGCAGACTGCCAGGGATAAGGGAGTTTCAGGGAGAATCTGCAGGGGCTGCTCTCAAATCTTTGCCTCAGTGTTAATCTGTGACTGTGTGTGAGTAAATCTTCTCAGGGTTTGGGAAAAAAAAACACTAGAAAATAGAATGGACAAAAAATTCTGGAGCTCACACAGGTATAGAAAATGGTATGCCTCCACCAGCAGGATTGGAGAGACTAGTAATGCATGGAATATTGGGTAGAGTTCTCAGAAGGATGCTGCTTTAGAAGTTAGAATAAGTTAACCCTAGATGAAAAGCTGCTCTGAACCTTCTGCAGAAAAGCTTACAAGCATACCTCAAAAGAATCACACTGATTAAAGTAATATCACGGTGTGCCCAACCAGAGTTCGACACTCCCTGAAGCAATGCAGCACCAGTGGCATTAACATTCATAGTGCCTGGATCCAACAAAAGTACCAGTTACACAAATAAGCATAGAATAAGCTCATAGTCAGGAGAAAACTTAGTTAACAGAAACATACCAAGAAGTGACAACAATATGGCTTTTACAGATAAAAACATTAAAACTGACACACACACACACACACACACACCCTATTTCTAAAGATAGAAAAATGAAGCATGATGGTGAGATAAATGTAATACATAAAAGAGATCCAAATTGAGTTTCTAGAGATTAGAATACAATACCTGAAGTAAAGAAAAAAAATTATAGCAGATTGCATCACACATACCGATTAGGGAACTTGAAGATGTAACAATAAAAAACAAAAAATGAAGTACAAAGGAAAAAAAGACAGAAAAATAAAACAAAACAAAACAGAACATCAGGGCATATGGGAGAATATCAAGTGACCTAAAACAAGCATAATTGTTCTACACTCGGAGCAAAGAGACGGGAATACAGAAAAACTAGTCAAAGATATAATAGCTGAAAATTATGAAATTTGATAAAAGCTATAAACTGATACATTAAATAAGACCAACAAATCCCCAGTGAAAGAAACAACATCACACCAGGTCACAGGTTGATCAAATTAGTGCAAAGAAAAAATATTAAAAGCACTTACATAAGAAGGGCATGGACACATTGCATAGTTGCATGAGAGTTATGAATAAAAAATGACAGCAGGCTTTGCACCAGAAAATATTCAATTAACTTCTTTTAATATTCTCCACAAGGATCAACTGGCAACAAATTCTTTTAATTTGTGTTTGCCTGAGTAAATCTTTATTTTGCCTTCATTTTTGAAAAGTAATTTCACAGGATACAGGATTCTATGTGAGTGACATCTTTAAAATACGGAAAGGAAAGCGTTCTCAAATGAGAATTTTATACCCAATGAAAACATCTTCCAAAAATGAAGGTGGATTTCTGCTTCTGAGTATGAGGGGCTAAAACCCTAGCAGGTAACATTCTCCTATAGGAAACGAGGATGAATCCAGGACACAATAAAATTAAACAGTTCTACCCAAAGGTGCTGGAAAATGAATAGAATAGTAGGCTCTAGAGGGGAACACACACTCATCTAAGAAGTAGAGACTAGCTGAGGAATCTCTGAGGCTTAGCCTGCGCTCAGTGCTGTCAGTCCAGCTCGCACAGGGGCAGTGCAGTTTCCCATGAGAAAGCCTATCACCTTTCTGTGTAAGACGCCAGAAAAGTCAGGCTGAGACACTACACACCACAAAGAGTAGGGGAGCTCTTGGAAAGGCAGAGAGGCAATCCCCAACCCACTCTACCCATATCTCTGATTGACCTGATATACACATGTGCAGAGTAGACTCATGTAGCCCAGCCAGAAGCAAAGTCACTAAACTAAGCTGCCTCCCCAGAGAGAATTTAAAGTTCAAACCCAGCCAAAAAAACCACCTGCTAAGATAAATAAGACAGCAGTTTTCAGATAAAATAACAGGACCCAGAAACTCAACATTTTAACAGTCATAATTTCCCCCTTCTACGCGATCATGCTGAGCCAGTGCCTGGGCCTGGCATCTGTTCCAGCCTCCTTGGCGTCGCCCTCTGCCTCCTGACCTCGGACCGCTGCAAAGTTAGCGAGCTCCGAGCCTTCGTGAAAAGGTGTAAGCAGGATCCGCACGCTCTGCACACCGAAGAAATGCGCTTCCTGAGGGAGTGGGTGGTGAGCAGGGGAAGTACAGTACCCCCTGCTGCTCAGAAAGCTAAATCAGAAGAAAATATCAAGGAAGAAAAACAGACAGTGAGAAGACGGAGGAACACATAAAGACAGACGAGCCGTCAAGTGAGGAAAGTGATCTAGAAATTGACAGTGAAGGTGTGATTGAACCAGACACTGATGCCCCTCAAGAAATGGGAGATGAAAAATGCAGAGAGAAACAGAGGAAATCGAAAGGACAGACCGAGAGCGGGAAATGCATCTTTCTTTACTCTTCTCCCTAAATCTTAACACAATGATGAGAAAGTAGAAGCTATGCTTTTGGGAAATGCACACTTTCAGTAAAATTAACTGTGCCGACTTGTGTCTTTTCAGAAATCGACTTCCTGGTGCCAGGTGTCAGAGGTATCTCATAGTGGCAAGCAAGCTTGCCTAAAGTAAAGGGAATTTACAAGGCCTAAGACATCATGCATTGGGCAAGGACTGTAAAAATCATGAAACTTGTCATTACAAAAGTTATAACCGCTCAGAGGGAGAGCAGGTGGGGATTCGATCTTCCAGTCAATGGGGCCCTATCTACAGGGAAGCCAAGGATCCCCCGAAGCTACCCACTGGGAACGCCTAGGAGATAAGGAGAGGTGCACCCATCAGGTCTAAGGAATGTCGTTCGGGAAGGTGCAGGAGCATTAGAATCCTTGTCACACCCTTCTCTAGGGGCTATGATAATGTGGGCGGACATTAGTGGGTCTCTGTGTCACAGGTTCTCCAAGACAGCCACAGGGGGTCGAAAAGAATTGAAGCCAGGACTCTGGGGGGCTACAAGGCCACACTCACCTAGAATGTAGGCCCACTCCCTATCTGTGGGGGTGGACTTTTCTTAAATAAATCTTTTCTCCTCTCACCTCTGTGTGTTGCAATTCTTTGCATCTTCTCGGATCTCTGGGTTGCCAGCATGCACCTCCGGCTTGCCAGCCCCGGCGGTGCTGGCTTCCTCCCTGCGCCTCTCCATTTTCCCTCACCCTGTCCCGTACCCCAACAGAGATGTTGGATGAGGAAAATGAGAAGAAAGTGGGTGCCATTGAAGCTCTCGGGGATGGTGAGCTACAGAAAGCCATTGACTTATTCCCCCATGCCATGAAGTTGAGTCCTCGTTTTGGCCACTCTGTATGCCCAAAGGGCCAGTGTCCTCACCAAACTGCAGGAGCCAAATGCTGCCATCCCAGACTGCGACTGAGCCATTGGAATAAATACTGATTCAGCTCAGCCTTACAAGTGGCAAGGGAAAGCACACAGGCTTCTGGGTCAATGGGGAGAAGCAGCCCATAATCTTGCCCTTGCCTGTAAATTGGATTATGATGAAGACGCTGGTGCCATGCTGAAGGAAGTTCAACCTAGGGCCCAGAGAGTTGCGGAACATCAGAGAAAGTATGAAGCCAAACGTGAAGAGCGAGAGATCAAAGGCTAGAAAGTTTAAGAAGGCTTGGGAGAGCATGAGAGGACCCAGAGGGAGGAAGAAGCCAGATCACAGTGGGCAGTTGGGAGCTCAGTATGGCTCTTTTGCAGGTGATTTTCCTGGGGGAGTGCCTGGCAGTTTTCCTGGGGGAATGTCTGGAATGGGAGGAGGCATGCCTGGAATGGCAGGAATGCCAAGACTCAATGAAATTCTTAGTGATCCAGGGTTGTTGCAGCCATGCGGGATCCAGAAGTTATGGCGGCCTTCCAGGATGTGACCCGGAACCCAGCAAATATGTCAAAATACCAGAGCAACCCAAAGGTTACGAATCTCATCAGTAAACTGTCAGCCAAGTTTGGAGGTCAAGCATAATGCCCTTCTGATAAAAAGCCCTTGCTGAAGGAAAGGCAACCTAGATCACCTAATGGATGTCGCAGTAATACAAACCAGTGTACCTCTGACCTCATCAAGAGAGCTGGGGTGCTTTGAAGATAATCCCTCCTCCCTCTGTCGCCAATGCAGCTGAAGCATTTTACAGTGGTTTGTCATTAGGGTATTTAATCAGATAACGTTTTCCTACAGGAATTATAAACACTTTGTAAACCCTAAAAATATTTAAAACAAAATAAAACGGTGTGTCAATTCCTAAAAATAAAATACTCATAATTTCTAAAATATAGTTCAAAATCACATGGCAGATGAAAAACCAAGAAATGAAATAGATTCTCAAGTGGGAAGAAAAGACAATTTAACCAGAAACCCAGCCTTAATAAAATGTTAAAATTGTTTTTTGAAGAGGTTATTATAGCTATGTTAAGTAGAGTAAAACAAAACATTTTGCTTTTACCTTCATTTATTCCTTCTTTTTGCTCTGCCTTTCTCTGTGTATATCTGGGTTTCTGCCTTATATTTGAAGAACTTCTTTTAATATTCCCCACAAGGGTCTACTGGCAACAAATTCCTTTAATTTTTGTTTGTCTGAGTAAGTCTTTATTTCGCTTTCAATTTCGAAAAGTAATTTCACAGGATACAGAATTCTATGTTGGTGGTTTGTTATTTCAACACTTTGAATATTTCAGTCCACACTCGCCTTGCTTGCATGGTTTCTAAAGAGAAGTCTTATATAATTTGTATTCTTGCTTCCTGTTAGGTAAGGTTTTCCTCTCACCCATGCCAACCCCCAGATTTCTTTTAAGCTTTTCATGTCATCTTTGATTTTCTGAGGTTTTAATATAATATACTAAGATGCAGATTTTTTTTTTAGAATTTATCCTGTTTGATGTTTCTGAGCTTTCTGGATTTGTAAACTGACATTTGTTGTTAATTTTGGAAAGTTATCAGTGACTGTTGGTTAAAATATGTCTTATTTTCTCTCTTTCCTTCTGCTGTTCTTATTATGTAAAAGTTATGTATTTTGTAATTATTTCTTGATCATTCTATTTTATATTTTTCATTTTATTTTCTCTTTACACTTCAGTTTTGAATATTTCTGCTGGTGCTTCTTCAAGCTCTCTGATTCTTTTCCCAGCCTTGTCTGGTGTATTGATGAATCCATCAAAGGCATTTTTATTTCTATTATGGTGTTTTCTATTTCCAGAATTTCCTTTTGATTCCTTCTTAGAGTTTCCATCTCTCTACTTATGTTGCCTCGTCTGTTCTTGCTTTTTGTCCCCCACTTCTCTATGAGAGCCCTTAGTATGCTAATCACAATTTTTTTAAAATTCCCAATTTGAAAATCCTGAAATCTTTGCCATACTTGAGTCAAGTTCTGGTGTTTGGCTTGTCTCATCAGTTCTGGTGTTTGGCTTGTCTCATCAATCTCTGTTTTATGCCTTTTGTTGAAAGTACTTGTGATGAACTGGATAAAGGAACTGGGGTAGATAGGCTTTTAGGGTGAGGTTTTATGTTTTCGGGCTAGGAGTTGGGCCGTGTTTACTGTTTGCTGTAGCTGTAGGTGTCAGAGCTAAATTTTCCTTTAGTGTTCTTGTTCTTGTTTCTTCTGTTGTCTTTGGGTGGAAACCCAAATCTTAGGGAACTAAAGATACCTTAAGTTGGCCTGGTTCTTGCAGTTCTTTTAGCTGTGGTGCCATTATTAGCCAGCAGCCCTGCTGGCGGTGGGAAAGTATGAGGGAAAGCATCCTTTAGTGAGCCTGAGGGGTATTTCTCCTTCCCAATTAATTAGGTCTGGTAAACCTCAGTCAGACTTGGGTAAAATAGTTTCCCCTGTGGGTAAGTATTGTTAAAGAGAGCCGGGCTCGGTGGCTCACCCTGTAATCCTATGCCTTTGGGAGGCTGAGGTGAGTGGATTGCCTGAGTCCGCGGGTTCAAGACCCACCTGAGCAACTTGGAGAGAGCTCATCTCTACAATAAATCAAAAAATCAGCCGGGCGTGGTAGCGCATGCCTGTAATTCCAGCTGTTCGGAAGGCTGAGGCGGAAGGATGGCCGGAGCCAGCAGGTCGAGGCTGCGGTGGCCGAGAGCGGCCACTGCACTCCAGTCTGGGCGACAGAGTGAGACTCCGACTCAAAAAAAAAAAAAGAGGGCAGAGGTTCTGTGCATATTTCACGGATGCTTTTTCCTTGCTCCTGTGGGAAACAGTAGGAGATTTTTCTGTCACGGTGAGAAATGGGTCGGACTCCTAGAAATAAAACTCACAAAGGCATGCCTTCCTCCCAAAAAACTGCCCCTTCAAGTTTTAACTCGCAAACTAGTCATATTTTTAATTAAAGAAAATCTCTGAAGCAAACTAGAAAGTCTCCGTAGAGACATAAAAACAAAAAATTGGAATTCCACTGTTAAAAAATTAAATTTTTGAAAGAAAATATTAATGAGATGGGTGTAATAGCCAAGTGAATATACAGAGAGAAGAGTAATTGAACTTGAAGATATTCACAGAAATTGTCTAAGAGAAAAGCAGAAAAAACAAGCTTTTTTTAAAAAAAGAGAAGACCTGAGTAGTTAGATAGATTATATAAAAAGTTTCAAATACATGTAATTGGATTGCCAGATGAAGAGAAAAACAAATGTTTGAAGATATAATGACCAAGATATTCTATATCTAATATAAAACAGAAAGATGCTAAATGAACATCAGGAAGAAAAGAGAAAAAGAAGTTCATGCTGAGGTGCATCATTACCAAGCTGTTGAAAACCAAATATAATGAACAAACCTTGAAAGCAACAAGAGAAAAATGACACATTATTTACAAGGTAACTATCAAGCAATTAGTCGCATATTTCTCATCAGAAGCCATGTGGGGAGAGAAGAAAATAAAACATCTATAAAATGCTGAAAGCAAAAATAAACATTCAAGCAAACAAACAAACTCTATTCAGTGTCCTGGGTGTAAACTCTATTCAGAATTCTATATTCAGTGAAAACATTCTTTAAGAATTAAGGTAAAATTAAAACAATTTTGATAAGGGAAAACTAAACAGGTTTGTTGCCGAGAGAGACCTTTGTTATAAGAAATGCTGACAAAGTTATTCCGTTTGAAGGGAAATGCCACTAGATAGAAAATTGGATACCACAAAAAGGATGAAGATTATACAAAATGGTAAGTATTGTATGTGCATTTCAAAACCCACAGTGTTGTGAGCCACAAATAGGGAATGTTCCTGCGGGAAAATTTAGAAAAACTAACCTGGATATTGACGATCCCAGGATGTGATACAGATTGTGCCAAATACATCTAGCTGTATTACAAATGTGAGATATACTCACACTGAAAGTGGTAGAAACAAAATAACTAACCTCCCTATTTTGGAAATTGGTCTTTTAGCGGAATACTGCAAGGCTAAAGACAAAAAGAATAGCATGAAAGCACTGTACTCTAGTGGGTGAACTTGTTGATCACAAGGGCACAGCTTAGCAATTCTAAACTAGCTCACGAGCATATGAGGGTTCAGTAAATATGTAAATAAATTGCAGAAAACAGCAGCTAAGTTTTTCAGTGTGAGAAAAGAAGTTACAAATAAGTAAGGAGGAGAGACTTGAAAGAACCTTGTGGTGCTGAATGAGAGTCAGAGATGTCTTGTGAACACATGTTTGTTTTAACATATGTTCATGTAGACCCGGAACTAAGCAAGGAACATGGGACATTCAAAAACATGTCACGATGTGAGGTGAACTATTTAACCACTTGCTCTTCAAAACAGCTGGTTGCCCAAATCTCCGATATGTAGTATTTGCCCATTTCTGTGCTGCAAGTATTTATTTCCACAACAGCTGATTTCAACAGACAAACGTGATGTCCCTTGATGAGGACTTGGGAAGGGATGTGTACTCAGCACTCATGAGTGGGCTCTAACACATTACTGGAGGCAAACCAGACGCTGCGTCATAAAACTCTCAATAAATTAAGAGGACTGGAAAAGTCAAGAGTGTATTTTCTGAACACAAGTGAGTCATGCAAGAAATCAATACAAATTCCCAAATTAAAAAAAAATTAAACATTCTTTGTGTGTGTTCATGTCAGAGAAGGAATCTCAAGAGAAATAAAAAAATAGAAGGAAGGAATGCATCCCAACTCAACTTATGAAGCTGATATTACCCTAATATCAAAATCAGGATAGTATATGACAAATGAAACTGCAAACCAATATTCCTCATGAACATATTTTCAAAAATTCTCAATGCAAAGGTAACAAGTTGAACCTAGCACTATTTCAAAAGATTATTTTAGCCTGATCATGTGAGTTTGATTTCATAAATATAAGGATGGTTTGACATTAAACAATTGATCATGGCAAGCACCATAATAACAGTAAAAATGAAAACCATATAGTTGTCTTACCAGATGCAGAAAAACCTTTTGACAAATTTCAATTTCCACTTATGATTTAAAAAAACCTCTCAGACATTAGAAACAGAAGTAAACTCCCTTGACCCAATTAGCAGTTAGTATAAAAACCTACATTACAATCCCAAATGAAGGCAAGTAAGGACCTATAGGAGGCCCAAACTTTACCTGTACGATAACCACTTATGTACCTAACCCTGAATTGTACCCCACATCTTTAAAAAAAATAAAAAATTCTACACTCAATATCATACTTAATCTCACCCCAAATCACCAGTGCAATAAGACAAATTTTAAAAAGTTAAAAGATAAGAGTCATGTATTGGAAACTAAGGTGTGAAACTGTCTTTAATCACAGACTACATGATTGTTTTTGTTTAATATTCTCATGCATAAAAAAAAAAAAAAGCTACTAAAATCAACCAGTATGAAAGTCTCCGGACTCTAGAACAGTATACAAAAAATTAATTTTACTTTTTATATTTTATAAACAAACAATTTAAATTAATCTCTTGAGTTGCTGTTTATTAGAGAATCCTAAAAATAAAATTAAAAAGTGAATAGAGTGATGTTTAAATTAAACATTCCCATACTCACTCATATG